AACATTTCCCCCCTTTTTTGGCCAGTGTATCTAACTTATTAGCTACTGCAACTGCAGGTGAAGGGGCATTGACTGTTTTAAATACCCTAACTTTGTCTCACACATGCAATCTTTTATAGCCTTTGGAATGGAAAAAGATACAAAACATTAAAGCATTTTTCCAAGTAGAAGGAAGTGCACCCTCCTTGTGTTCCACACAGAAGCCTGGGTTACTATTTAAACTGACCCTAAATGCTGTAGAGGTTAAATCTCTGGCATTTGCATTGGCACAGAGCTGCTCTATCATCTTCATCAGGGACATCCCAGCACTAGCTATACACATGGTTTCCTAGAAGCATAACACATTTGTGTAGAATATGCACACCAGTGTCCACCCTGGTCGTTTAGTAGCAATTAACCTTTTCTACGGGGTTTCCTTTGAAGCTTGCTCATGTTTTTATTGCAAAATAGCAGTGAGATTTTTTTAATGAAAGGAAATGTCTAAACTTCCATGTTACCCAGTTCAGAGGTTGTAATTATGTTACCCAGTTCCTATCAGGGACAATTTTATGATCTTAAAGACGTCTGCCTGGAATTCAAAACAGAAGCAATTGTATGTATTGTATATTACTTCCCACCTTTAATTTTAGTGGGATTTATTTTATATAGGGATAAATTAGTTTGCTAAGTTTTCCAAACTTGCTAGCATATTGAGTGTAGCACCTTAACAGCATCATCTTTTAAGATTTTAAATAGTTCCACTGGAATGCCATCACCTCCACTGGTCTTGTTGTTAGCCATGCTTTCTAAGGCCCACTTGACTTCACTCTCCAGGATGTCTGGCTCAAGGTCAGCAACCGCACTATCTGTGTTGTCCGGGACATCCAGATCTTTCTGGTATAATTTCTCTGTGTATTCTTATCACCTCTTTTTGTCTTCTGCTTCTGTTAGGTCCCTCCCATTTTTGTCCTTTATTATGGCCATCTTTGCATGAAATGTTCCTTTCATATCTCCAATTTTCTTGAACAGATCTCTGTTTTTCCCCTTTCTATTATTTTCCTCTATATCTTTGCACTGTTCATTTAAAAAGACCCTCTTGTCTCTCCTTGTTATTCTTTGGAAGTCAGTATTCAATTTTCTGTAACTTTTCCTATCTCCCTTGCATTTGGTTTTCCTTCTCTTCTCTGCTATTTGTAAGGCCTCGTTGGACAGCCACTTTGCTTTCTTGCATTTCCTTTTCTTTGGGATGGTTTTTGTTGCTGCCTCCTGTACGAGCCTCCATCCATAGTTCTTCAGGCACTCTGTCCACCAAATCTAGTTCCTTAAATCTGTTCTTCACTTCCACTGTGTATTCATAAGGAATTTGGTTTAGATTACACCTGACTAGCCCAGTGGTTTTTCCCACTTTCTTCAGTTTAAGCTTGAATTTTGCTATAAGAAGCAACAATCAGCTCCAGGTCTTGTTTTTGCTGACTGTCTAGAGATTCTCCATTTTTGGCTGCAGAGAACATAATCACTCTGATTTCAGTATTGCCCATCTGGTGATTTCCATGTGTAGAGTCGCCTCCTGTGTTGTTGGAAAAGAGTGTTTGTGATGACCAGCTTGTTCTCTTGACAAAACTGTATTAGCCTTTGTCCTGCTTTGTTTTGAACTCCAAGGCCAAACTTACCTGTTGTTCCTTTTATCCCCCTACTTTGGCATTCCAGTCCCCTTTAATGAAAAGAACAATTTTTCTTTGGTGTCAGTTCTATAAGGTGTTGTAAGCTTTCATAGAATTGGTAAATCTCAGCCTCTTCAGCATTGAAGGATCATTGAACCATTATGTGCATAAACCTGGATTACTGTGATGTTGAAAAGTCTGCCTTGGATTCATATTGAAATAATTCTTTCATTTTTTAGACTGTATCCCAGTACAGCTTTTCCCACTCTTTTGTTGACTATGAAGGCTACTCCATTTCTTCTACGGGATTCTCGCCCACAATAGTAGATATGGTAATTGTCTGAACTGAATTTTCCCATTCCCATCCATTTTAGTTCACTGATGCCCAGGATGTCAGTGTTTATTCTTGCCTTCTCCTGTTTGACCACATCCAGCTTACCAAGGTTCATAGATCTTATGTTCCAGGTTCTTATCCAGTATTTTTCTTTGCAGCATCAAACTTTCCTTTCACTTCCAGGCGCGTCCACAACTGAGCATCCTTTCAGCTTTGGCCCAACCACTTCATTAGCTCTGGAGCTACTTGTACTTGTCCTCCACTCTTCCTCAGTAGCAAGTTGGATGCCTTCTGACTGAGGGGCTCATCTTCCAGCATCATATATTTTAGCCTTTTGTTTCTGTCCATGGAGTTTTCTTGGCAAAGATACTGGAGTGGCTTGCCAATTCCTGCTCCAGGTGGATCGCATTTAGTCCGAACTCTCCACTATGACCTGTCCGTCTTGGGTGTCCCTGCATGGCATAGCCCATAGCTCTCCAAATTAATAAAGCCCCTTCGCCACGACAAGGCAGCAATCCGTGAAGGGGTTGCAAACATAGCAGGATGCTTTCTGTGGACAAAGGAAGCCTTTTATTAACAGAAAGTGTGAAAGGGCACTTTTTTCTGACTTGCTCAGCCTGATTTATTTCAAACATGTTTAGAAATTATAATCTAATTAAATGGTATAAATTATCAGCTGGTGTGAGCCTCCTGGCTGATGCCGAGTCCATGGTGGTTCCTTTCTCCATGACAGAATCCGTAGCCAACACTGAAAGTAAGCCAATACAAACAGGTTTTCTTATAACTGGGGTGGGAGATACAAACAAAACATTGCTTACCGCATTTGGGACAGTTCCCTTCCTTTCACCCCCTGTTCCACCCTCTCAGTTTCTCCTTCTGATGGCATCTGTCTGCTCCTCTGCCTCTAATGCTTCTCTCATGGAACCCCTTAGCTCCCAGTGTCTCCCAGGTCCACTGGGGAGCTGATGTCCGGAATTCCTCATAACGAGGGAGAAGGTGAGACATCTCACCCACAGGGGCACCTGTGTTGCTACTGTTGTCCTCACAACTGGAAAGAATTATTTTCAGTATTGCCCGTCGATTTTGTTAAACTGCTTTCCAGTAACTCAGGCAGTGGCTTTTCCCGTCATCTATTGCATTATGCTTTTAATGGATTGAAACAGGGATTTTCTGTGTGCAAAGCATGATTTCTTCTATGACAAAAGATCCCTGACTATTGTACATAGAAATTTAAGTATTATATGCCTAATGGAAAAGATAGCTGTACTTAGCAAGTTGCTGACTATAACCTTATAGATGGGTACTTGGGAAAGATCCCTGATTATTGTACATAGAAATGTAAGTATTATATGCCGAATGGAAAAGATAGCTGTGCAGTGGTGCCTCGCATAGTGAGGTTAATCCGTTCCGGATTAACCTTCGCTATGCTGAAGCATCGTTGAACAGGGCAGGGAATTCCATTGGAATTCCATTGGAATTCCAAATGGGCCGAATACTCACCATTCAGCGATGCTTCTTAATGGCCGGCAGCCATTTTCGCGCCCTCCCCTCGCTTAACGAGGGCGCGAAAACGCTGCGCGTGGCCATTTTGGCCACTGAACAGCTGATCGTCGGGCTTCATTTTGCGAAGATCGGTAAGCGAAACGCTTACCAATCTTCGCAAAGGGAATTTTGCCCTATCTAAAAAACGTTGAGCGATCGCATTAGCGATCCCAAAAAAGGGATCGCTATGCGATTTCGTCGTTGTACGGTGCGCTCATTAAGCGAGGCACCACTGTACTTAGCAAGTTACTGACTATAACCTTATAGATGGGTACTTGGGAGACAGCTTTCTTTCGAATAGGTACAGCTTGGATTATGACTGCACTGTTTTTTTCTCTGAAATATATTCTGCGTTATGTCTGAGTTCGGATCTACAGATACAGCAGAATGAGATGGCGCAACTGGTCTCAGACTGCAAACGAGGATATAACATTTTAAAATGCTTCCCATCTTTTCTTTTAGCAAAACAACTTCCAAGCCATTATGGATTCGATCATTTCTACCTAATGTGCTAGTTTTCTATTCCTAAACATTTTTTTTCAAAGAAAAATGAGGGGTAATATTTAACTAATGTAATCTCCCACGTGCCGTCTGAAGTGCTACAACTCATTTAGGTCATTGAATCCCATCTAATTTTACTACATGTTTTGACAGGACCTAATTCTGAACTCAGGTTAAACTACAAAACTGTCATACTGGCTGTGGACAGATCACCACCTCTTGGAATCACAGTGTTATTATAAACTGAGAAAGGAAGCTCTCATAAGTTGCATCGAGTTCCAGCAATAAATTTAAAAAGCCTGAATATATGTCCAGTTCTGCTTCCATTGTTTCCTTTTGTCGTAATATTAAAATTCAGAATTTTTTGATGAGAGGATTTGGTAGTGGGTTCAAAACTAAGTGGGCTGCCTATATACTACCCCATAGGGCGCACTTTCAATTTTAATTTAATTATGCTGACTATACATTTTCCCCCATCTCGGTAATCAATATACTGACTTTGAAAGGATGGAAGGCTTGAGTCAACCTTGAGCCAGCTAACTGAGTCTGTTGAGATCGGACGTAGGTCATGAACAGAGTCTTGACTGCAGTACTGCAGTTTAACTACTGCCCCACAAGGCAGACAAAGACAAGTTCACATCAAATACATCTAATATGGAGTTTGCTGTCACTAGCTTAGTAAAGATTATACAAATAAAACAAGGAGAGGTTTATCATTTCCTTCTAGCTATAACTGCTAAATGAAACCTAATTGTTTCAATATCATAAAATGAAATATCTGTATATTGGGATGAAATCTGATGTCGGGAATAGTATTATGTAATAATTCTATTATGTCTAGACTTATGGCCAATTCCAAAAGATTCACTTATGTTTTGTGCTACATACGAGGAGGCTTCCTGAAACAAGGCTCATGTGACAGTAACACCATAAACCTACAGCACACCACAGAGCACCAAGGAAGTCATTTATGATAAATAGAGATGGGCATGAACCAGTTTGTCCCAGTATGTAAATACGGCAGCACAGGTACTGCTGTTCCCCTCCCCACCACCACCTCTGGCTCGATCAGCCACTCACCTGGCCCGGCCTCCTTGATCTTCCACAGATCTTCCAGTCCCGGCAACAGCTCAGGCTTCTCTGCCCCTCCCTCTTGGCTGATCTGCCACTCAGATAAAAGGGCGGGGCAGAGAAGTCTGTGCTCTTGCCCGTGACTGGGAGGTCAGCAGAGAAGGTGGAAAAAGGAAGCAAGCCTGGCGCCTGGTGAATGGCTTGATCAGTTGAGATGGCGGGAGATGGGAGCAGCAGCAGCACCTGTGCTGCCTCCTTTAAGGACTGGTACAATCTGGGATGAACCAGTTTGTGACCATCTCTCCTGGTAACTGTAAGCTGTGATATGGATGCTGTTCAGATGATAGGATGATCCGTGCAGTAAGCTCCTTACTTCACATATTGTGACTGACACACATAAAAGTTATCACTTCTCTGTATCCTATATAGCCTGTATGTACTGTAAGCCCTCATACAATTGTGCTTCCCTTGACAAAAGTGCTATCAAGTTTTTAAAGTTGTTTTTAATGGTTCTTTTTATACCCCTCACCTACCCAACTGGCAGGGCATAAATATTCTCAATAAATATCTTCCATAGCTATATTTTTTTTAGCTATGAAAGTATGTGAAAGTCAAATTGCCACTTTCCATGTTCTCATTCCAATTTCTTAGAGACAACCTTGTTTTTGGGACTACACTGGATATGTATATTTTTTCTGAGAAATCAGAAATTAGTTGCTCATGCCCAGTTTTACTTTTGTACTGAAGTATTGTACTGCTGCTTATGTAGGACTGCCTTGGGTCTGGGCAAATCAGTTGTTTCAGAAGCCATGTTTGGGGTAGGACAATAGACAGTAATAGGCCAGTAATGTTTTAACTTCAATGACTTCTGGTTTGTTTACAGCCTCAATTTAAATTGTTGGCTTTGTTCTTTGTACTCCTAAAAGGTCTTCTTAAACCTCTTCCTGCATAAACCTTCCGGAGAAATCTGCTCAGTTTCTGAGGTTGTCTCACTGACTCTTTACAAAAGCAGAGAGCCTGGGTAGGACATCAGAGAAGTCACATTCTGTTGTTACACTTACATTCCACAGTAGCTTTCCAAGAGAATTTTGTCTGGAGGCATTTTTAGTCAAGAGATCTGAATATGTATTTTTTTTAGACTGTTGCAATTTTTATGGTGGCCACGTGAAATGGAGGACATTGAATCATAGTACAAAGGAGGGATTTTTAAAAATGTTTTAATGAAACGAATTGCAGTTGTTTATCAACTTGTGTGTCATACATTTTAAGAAGCATTTCTATAATTGGTGCAGGATTTTCTCTGTAATATTGTAAAATTGTAATATTAAGAATTATATGATATCCATTTGTAGCTTTCCCTTGTCAGTCTTTTAACTGAAGTATGCCTTCTGTTTGCCATATAAAAATTATTGAGGATTTGGAGACCAGAATGGGATAAAATGCAAAGAACTATAGAAGGTATAGAGCACTAATGAAAATGGGGCATTCTAAGGCAAAGCCATTTATGTACAGTTATGTACAACTGTACAGAAATAAAAATTGCATCAAGGTGTACAAGACGTTTATCCAAATAATTCTCTAGCACATCTAGTTATCTTGTTCTTAATGTGTGGAATCTTTTTCAGATAATGAGTGTATATATGAAAGCTTCCCAGAGATTCCTTTGGAAGAATCAACTGAAAATGATGAAGACCCTAGCAGTTTGTCATTCACTATCCACGAACAATCTTCTCCAGCAACATCAAATGAAGCCTTCACACCAAAGGATGGGTCTCCTTACAAAGCACCAATATATATTCCTGATGACATCCCAATTCCGTCAGAGTTTGAGCTTCGAGAATCAAATATTCCTGGAGCCGGATTAGGAATATGGACCAAAAGGAAGATTGAAGTAGGTGAAAGATTTGGACCATATATAGGAGAAAACTGCCCAAGTCTTAAAGATCCCAGCAATGGATGGGAGGTAGGAGAATGCATAAATATTTCTCTCTTTATTTTCAGATTCATTATCTGGTTGCTTTCATTTTCGATAAAAGTATTTTTGGAGTACATTACAGGTAATGAAAGTTATAATGAAATGCCTCAATGGAACTGTGATGTTTCTTTCCATATGAATTGATTCATGAAATTCAAAAGTCCTTGTCAAGATCTGTGGTAGAGAGAAGTGATCTTTATCTAAATTTCCTTTGATAGTTTTGTAGATGTTTCTTTTACGGTTTGTTGGCTATATTTCAAATATGTTACATAGTGGGAGCATATATCTTATGGCAAAAATAGATGGCATTATTTACCAGGTTTAATTTGTAGAATAAATATTTCTGTTTTAGTGTGGCAAATTCATGATATTTTTGAGGATTACGTTGACAGAAAAGAGGGGTTTTTTGGAATTTTTGTTAGAAGGTCTCTTAAACAAACTCTAGTAAATGTTGGCATGTGGAATGTGTTTCTCTGAAGGCACCTGAACCTAGTTACTTGTACGTAGATCAGTCATCATCTTTCTTGACAGCAAAATAATCAATGCAGATTATCAGTATTTAAGTGTAGAAGATGGATATGTGGAAGGATGAAGGCACTTGAGATACAAGAAATGCACAGATGGCAAGTTACTTTAAGAAAGAAATTTATGTGTAAGTTATTGCAGACCTGCTGACACAGTAACTCACTACTGGTAAGATTACAAACTGTTATAATGCTTTCTTCTCTCTGTAATTATGTGTTTATATTTCATTACTTGTCACTGTTTGGTTACGTTTTAAATGAAAGACCCCATAGAAGTCATAAGAGAATTGCACAGTCACTTGTAAAATGTTATTGAAAAATGAGAAAATGTTAACATTAAACTCCCATTAACAATATTACAATTAGTTAAGTTACTTTTGCATTGTAACTTTTTTTGCACCTCCATTTCTAAAATAACAAGTTAGAGCTATAGGTGTTATAAGGTTTGTAACCCATAACTTGTAACCCACATTCTAAGCTGAAGTCAAAATATAGTACAAGGCTCGGCCTTCCAGGCTATAACTAAAGATGGCAGACCACCAAACCATAGAAAGGCTGTATGAACTAAATGCCCTTTCTAAGAATAAATAATGCATAATAATAGACAATAAAGATTAAACAGCTGTCAACAGTTTATAGAAGACAAACTAAATGAGTGCTTAATGGAGTGGGTTAGGGAAATATAACAAGTAACTGGACGCCCATGTGGACCAGAACTTAGTCACTGCTGCTATGTTTGTAATGTCTTCTGGCAAGGCTGTTAATAGTATTTGATAGTACTGTAAACTATCCATTTATATCTGTCTGTCATCTTGGGAAGTTGACACCTGGTAATTCTTCCTCATCTTTCTTTCCTGATCCCATGGTTTGTCAAACATTAGCAAAAGACTCCTTTCCTATTCCTAGAAAGATTCTCTCATCAGTCCCCAATTACAGGTCCTCTCTTGTCCTAGGTTTTCCATGTCTTGTCATGACCTTGACTGAGGTTCATAGCTCCACATACCAATCCAGGTCTTGGAACCAACAGATAAGGCCTAGTCTTTCCCTTTTCTCTTGGCTCCATCTGTCTTTTTACCTCGAGCAAGAGGAATGAGAACTTTTGAGAGGCTTTTGAAATGGAGAATTTCTTCTATGAATGACCGCATTAAAATTGTGCCACTGTCAAAGCACTTGATCCTTATGCATGTCTAATGCAAATACTCTGCTTCTATTAGCATCATACCGCTACTCTGCTTCTATTTTTTTAATGGCTATAAGAAAAAGGTCTGTCCTTATGACTGTTCATTCTTCTTGTATATACAGGAAAGCCACAAGATGGCTCTTTACCACTTTACTCATTGATTCTACTTTTTGTGTAGCAGTGAGGTTCTCCATTCTTACAGGCATCAACTCCTAGTTCATTTCACATGATCTTCATGAGAATTACTGAAGGTACAAGGTGGATGACACAGACTATGTATCTCTATGAATTAAAAAATTACATAGTAAATCATTGAGAAGTCTTTTCAAAATTGTACTGATACAGTATTAAAGCTATACATTTTAACTGGTTTGTGTACTTATTTGTTGCAACAACATGTAAGGGAATGAGTTCATGTTGTTTAAGAAAAAAGGAAATCATAATTTGCTGTGATCTTGTTGACAATTTACATTTTTTGGTATGTTACAATTTTTAAAATGTATGTACATTTGTGATAAATATGAGGATTAAAATATTAAAATTTTACAGTATCTGAAATATTTGTAGGCATATGGATCCAGCTAAAGAGTAGTCAAAATCATCCCAACTGGGATTTTTGGATGCACAGCAGCACACTAGTTTGGAGTTCACCTAAAAATCCCAACAAGAACTTAAATGCCAACATAAAGCCACTGAAAATTATGCCATTTGCCTTCCACAGGCATAACTGAGAAAGAGAATTGTAGCTAATATCAAGGTTGGACCATTTTTAATTTTTAATATTTGTTGTTTAAAACTAGTTTCTAATTAAAAATGAAACAAGATAGTACCATTATGCTCATAGGCCAGTGAGACAAACTAAAACTGCAATATAACCTTATGAATAGTGACAGAAAAACATTTTCTATATAGCCACATTTTTTTACAGCATAGATTATACTTTGGTCTCACGCTTTTCACAGCGATCACCATGGAGAGATTGGGCCTGTGAAAGATCTGCAAGATATGTCCGTTCTTGCTCGTATGCTTCATATGTTAAACACCTTGGGGGACATAGGTAAAAATGTTGTAGTATATTTAAGGTCCAGTCATTATTAAAGTGCTGGAGAGAAGCATAAATGAAAACCTATAAATCTTAATTGTATCATAGTTTGGGAGTCCAGAGCTGAGCATCATCTAATCATATATTGGTTGGCTAGAGTCCAAATCAAACAAGAGGTCATTGAGTAAGGGCAAAGGTCATGCTTTTTTGCAGTTTATCACTGGGGTTTAGTATTTGTTATCAGGCCAATCATACTTTGAGCCAAGAATCAGTAGCCTACTGAAAAGAACAGAATTGTTTGGCCCTTCATAAACAAACATAATTGTATTGTAAACAGAGATAAGCAGTTTTTAAAAGCAAACACATGTGCATAAATATATTGTGAGAATTGTTGACTGTTCTGTGTGTCCTAAGAATGATATTAGAAACAACTGCTTTGAAAATTCTACAACATATACCAGTCTCCATAATTTGCATATGTGTGTCCACACACATACACCTCACAGAGAGAGAGAGAGAGTACTGAAGCTTGTTAACCTTCTCGTTTCTTCTATTGTTTGGTTTCAAAAATTAAATCATCATGTTTGTAAAGAAATTGTTTATCCATATCTGATTTTGGAGTCAATGTACAATATATTTATACTTCAACTTGATATTAGGAAGGTGGAAATAGAAGATGTAAAACATGGAACAATGGCTGAAATCCTGTAGCTCAACTATTCCTGGCATAAATGGTGATGATATCAATAGCCGGTGATGTTAATCTTCATTTAATTTCATTTGAAACTTCCTATCTCCCCCTTTTAGTTTCCAAGGTTCCTTATAGATCCCTTTTCTCTGGGGAAACCTTTGGGAGTCTTGGGTGGGTGGGAGAGGAAATATTGGAAAATCATCACCCAATCACTGCAGACATCCCAGTCTGGAGACAGGACAATCACCAGTGATTTTCCAATATTAAAAGCTGAACTCCTATCCTGAGGCTCCCAAATGCTTCTCCAGTGCAAATAGGATCCTTAGGGAGCCTGGGAATCTGAAAGAGGTGGGACTGGATAAAAGTTTTAAATTAAATTAAGATAAAGATTAATGCCACTGGATAATGGCTACATGCAGTGTAGCTGTACCAATTAGATTTCAGCCAATATATTTTCATGTTTTTATTCTAGTACATTTCATTCTATCAAAAGCAGGACAGTAATGGCTAATTTGCATACTTTAATTAATTAAATTAAATGCTTTCTTTTCAACCCGTGTCTCCAAGGTCCTGGGGCAGTTAGCAAAGCACTTTATAAAAGTGACAGATGTAAACATTTTAATACTGACCAAAATCCTCTTGCAGAGGTTATGACAGGAGAAGAGTGGTGATATAACCAGTATGGAGATTTTCAGTAATTAAAGACTTCTTTGTTCCTATGGTTTCTACAGCTACCACATAATGAAATGGATTACTTGTGTATCAGACAAGCAGAGATACAGAATAGAATGTCTGTATTGTGTGCCATCAAAGTGATTCTCCCCTTTTTAGATATCATGGTCATATGCAAAACTGACCTGCTAGTGGGACACAAGGTCTACAGAAAACCCACCCACACAGATCGGTACCTACACAAAAACACCAACCACCACCCACGACAAAAAAGTCATAGTCAAAACACTGGTAGACCGTGCAAATCGGAACTGTGAAGCTCAATTTCTCAGCACTGAACTCAACCATCTGAATTGGGCCCTACAGGCAAATGGTTATTCCAAGAATGAAATACAAAGAGCCATCAAACCAAGAAAACAACACCAAACTGAAGAGGAAAAACAGCCACCCACAAATAAAGTATTTCTGCCATTTATCAAAGGGGTCACGGACCACATGGGGAAACTTTTGAAAAAACACAACCTACAAACAGTATTCAGACCCAACACAAAAATACAACAAATGTTACCGTCATTTGCAAAGGGCAAAATATACCCCCTCATCACTGCAGGAGTATACCGGATACCTTGCAGTTGTGGCCAGGTATATACTGGACCCACAAAATGCACCATCCACACCAGAATCAAAGAACACGAGAGACACTGCAAACTAAAACAACTGGAAAAATCAGCAGTAGCTGAACATGCCCTAAAACAAGCTGGACATGAAATTCTATTTCAAAATACTGAAGTACTGCAC